AGCAGGAACAGGGGGGTGACGGGGGTCAGGGTGCAGGACGGCGGGGGGAGCAGACAGGCGGTTACCAGGTGCCGCCGGGCCCCATGTAGACGAAGCGGTAGTCATCCACGCCCAGGACGTCCCAGTACTCGTTGAGCCAGTCGGACGAGAAGTACACGGGCAGGGTGAACACGTCCTCCGCTGAGGAGTCCCTTCAGAAAGAGGCGTGAGGCTGCAGCCGAAGGCGCTGCCAGCCCACCTCCCAGCACCCAGGTCCTGAGGCCATGAGAGACCCTGAGAGGTTTGAAGTTATGTGAATGATGCTGACCTGCCTCTGGAGCCAGCGCCAACTGCCAGGCTGAGTGGGGGCCCCTCGGGCCATCCAGCCACAGTCTGGCCACCAGAGACCACAGTCCTAAGTGACCCCAGCCGAGCCGGGCCCAAAAGACTGAACCAGAGCTGTACACAGATGGCGCGGTTTTGGGGGTGCTGTGACACAGCCTAGCCAACACGCACAGGCAGTGACCCAGCCGTTCTGGGCCCCTCCCGGACGCGCTCCAGGCCTTCAGCCTCTGGTTCTAAATGCATCGTCTGCGTCATGCTGGTTTCCCGACTTTGGGGGCCTCCTCTACTTTTTCACCCACACCAGGGACCTTGACTCTGCCAAGTGGATTCACAGGCATGTACACCAAGGTCCTTTGTACCTCGTCTCTCAAGCTCTCACTCCCCGGTCCATCCCCACAACCCAACCAGTGGGCTCCCAAACAGAGAAGCATTCTAAGTTAGCTCAAGGAAGGGTACAACTCTGCCAACAGCACGGTCACACGTCACTCGCAGTCAGAGGCCGTGGCGGGGGAGCCTCAGCACCAAGTCACCCGCAGTTCCCTAAGACACCGTGCAGGCCCTCTGTTGCCACGTCTTTGTGCACTGACAGGTGCCTGCTCATCCTTCAAAACAAGGCTCAGATATCACCTCCCCTGTGGCCACCCCTGCCTGCCTGATCCAGACCTTTCTCTGCTCTTTTTATTTTAGGGTTGCCAAGGGAAATGCAGGGCACTCCATCAAGACTGACTTTCAAATAAACAACGAACGCGTTTCCAGGCTAAGCGTGCCCCCTGTGACATCTGGGACACTCCTGCACCTGAAAACCCCTCACGGCTTATCTGAGGCCCGAACTCACCGCACGTGAGCATCTGTGTCTCTGAGCTCATCTGCGTTCCTGGAACGAGCTCCTGAGCTCTAGGACCAGAGTCTGGCTGCATCTCACCCACCGTCTGTTGGACCCGCTCTCTCTGCCAAGCAAGCAGCCATGTGGCAGACAGCACCCAGGGCAAGCTTTGAGCAGGATGCTGGTGCCCCTCATGCACTCTCGGATTCATCTTGGGACTCACTAGGATCTAAGGTTTGTTTTTTCTTTTTTTGAGTCTTAGTTCCTGCTTGAGCAAAACAAGAATTCGACTGTTCACTCATTCATTATTGGAGCACCCACTCTGTGCCAGGTGGTGCCAGTAGGTGGGGGTCTGACCGTGATCCCCTCTCGGCTAGTGAAAAGCACGGCCCTGGCAAGGAAAAGGGATACAAAATTCTGAGGGCCACCTCAGAGTATGAGTGCCAGCAGAAGGCGTGGGGCTGCCCAAGGAAGGGAGAGGTTTCTCAAGCAGCGTCCTTCGAGCGCCCCAGGAGGAAGAAGTTTGTGGTCGACAGGGACAGACCTCAGAAGGCCCCGTTAAAATGTTGGCCTCGTTGCTTGTTAGCAATGGAGACTTTAAACGGGCAGGACACAGTCCTGCTGAAAAGATCTTTGGGGCTTCAGTGAGTCTAGCAGTAGGGTGCGGGACTTGAGCTGGGGCAGCTTGTCTGGAGACTGGCAGCAGCCAAGGTGGATGAGAACAAGCCTGACTTGGAGAAGCAGGTTGGGAGAGGGCAGGCTGATCCCAGGAGCATCTGAGAGGACAGGCAAAAGCTAGATGCTGCCAGTTAGATTTTTTAGATGAAGCTGACAAGGACAGCTATGGGCAAATGTGACCAAAAAAAAAAGGTAGCAAGCACAGCCCACCTGGGCCTCTGCCAGGCCCACACTCCTCACAGCAGCCAGCCCTGTCCAGGCATGGTGAAATGGCCGCTACGGGACAGAATGACACTTCCAACCATGCTGAAAAGAGCGGGTTTTATACGAATTAAATTCTTAGCTGGGGAAAAGACGAGCTCCCCTGTGTGCAGCCAGGACTCACTCAGGGCAGGAAAAGCAGTGCTGGGGCCAGTGCTCCAGGCCCTTTACCTGCATAGATGCCAGTCCTTGAGGTAGAGACAGCCCCGTGGAGAGGAGTAGTTCCCCTGAATGTACTCTTTCCAGTAGCTGATGTAGTCTCTGAGGGGCATGTGTTCTTTGGGGTTGGAGTTGTATTCTTGGACCCCACAGTTTGCAACAGGTACAACCAGGTGTCCTGAAAGGCAAGGGTCAGGCACAGACTTTTCTGAGAGTGCTCCAGCCTGTCCATCCTCCCTGACCCTGTCCGCCCTCCAACTCATTGGTGCACACGTCTCCAGATGAATTCTTCTGGGGACCGACTCATGCCCTGCCTCCCTCAAGCCTTCCGCGGCTTGCCTCATTAGCGCCCTCACAGTCTGACCCAAGGGAATTTAGCAGGGCGAGTGTCAAAGGACACCGGCTCTAGTCCCGTGTTTGCTAGTCCGTGATGTCGCTGCCCAGCCCAGGCACCTGCGCTCCTCACCGTAGTTCTGAAGCAGATAATCGAAGTTGGGCTTTCCGCCGGGCGTCACCCAGAGCCTCCTACTGCCCCAGTCCTCGGTGAAAGCGCTGGAGAAAACACAGGGCAAGTTGGGGAGCAGGTAGCCCTTGAAGAAGTCCGCGTAGGAGAAGGCGTCTGGCTTCTCGATGAAGTCCACGCGGTCCAGTTTGGGGCAGACCCTGCCGGGTAGGCGCCCCCGAAGCCCTCGGAAGTGGCTCTCGGCGAACACGCGCGTGTCCCTGTCCATCCCGAGCCAGGCCCCGCGTCTGTGGGGCGCGGATCGCGTAGGGTGGGGGCCTGCCGGGGGGTCGGGAGGGCTACTGGGAATGGGGCAAGGGTCGGGGGCGCTCGGAGGAGCTGCTGCGGACAAGGTGGGGGGCTGCCGGGCGGCCAGAGGAGCCGCCCCGGACCGGAGGGGCCGCCAGGGACGGAGCGGCGGCCACGGCCCGGCGGAGAGCGGGGGCCCATAATCCGGCTTCCGGATTCCCCCTTCTCTGCTCTTTAAACTGGGAGGTGAAAAAGGAAGTGCTTGCTAAAACTACTACCGGCGTAGACGCTCTGGGCATCCGCAGCTCGCCGCCCAGCGCCCGCGATCACGAAGAAGGCGAAGTACAGGCACCGGTAGTGCGCAGTCGTCCCGGCGCAGTCGGGGGGAACCAAGATTCCGCGGGCGCAGTTCCCGCCGGAGCCTAAACGCCGCGCGCCGGGCGCCGGCCGCCGGGCGCATGCTCACACAGGCAGCGGCCCTCAGCTGGCGCAGGCACTGAGGGGCTGCGGTGCCCTGGGCCCCACGCCGGGTCCGCCCCGCTCCAGAGGTTTTTGAACGGTGCGGGCCCCGAGTCTCGCTGTCTTCGCGCCTCCCCAGTGACTCAGGTAAGCGGTGTTCCTAGTCTGCAGCTGGGCCTGTGTCCCAAGCCCCTCCGCTGGTCCCTCAGCACAATTTCTCCCGCCGCTAATGCCTGCGTGAGAACCCCTCCTCTTTCCGGAGCTACAAGGACGCAGAAGGTGGTGGCATGTGGGCTGGGCTAACAAAGAGGCACAAGGGCCAAAGGAGCGGTCCTGGGAGGTGCCGGGGGTCTAAGGGGATGCTGAGGGCCTGGAGGGGATGCTGGGGGCTAAGGGGGATGCTGGGGGCCAGGAGAGGTTGGTGGGACCTGGAGGACATTCTGGGGGACTAGGGATGATTTGAAGTGCAGGTGTAGGGGACAGGGCTGGGGACATGAGGCTGTGCACACCAGCAGACCTGAAATGGGGCATCAGAGGGGGACTTGGGTGGGGGTGACATGCCAGGGTTTCAGCATGTTTGAGAAATAGATGTCCTTCCAACACAAACCTCCCCACATCAATATGGAAGGAAGAAAATAAGTCTGTTATTGTATGGGCAGATTACATGCATGTAAGGCATCTGCAGGAGAGTACGGAGGTGGGCAGAACTTCAGACATTTCACACACAGGAAGCAGAAGAAAGAAAAGGTATGACCCCCACCCCCCACCCCTGTCTCCTGTCTCCTTGAGGGTAAAAGAAATGCAGGAGCGACCCCTGCCTCAGTTCTGGAGGTGTGTGTTTGCATCTCTGAGTCAGCAGGTGGTGACTGTGCCTTGTAAAATCTGAACACTGAGTTTGTTCCATTCCTGACCAAAGGAGACACCCAAAGGGAAGGGGAGGGGCAACTCCCTCCTCTTTATTAAGCAGTGAAGATGTAATCTTGTTTATTTACCCTTATAGGTGTCATAAGGGAGATTCTGAGGAAATTGAGGCCCTGAGCTTTGGAGAGGAGCTTGGGAAGGGTATTTCCCAGGGGTGTGAAGCTTATGCAGCAGGACAACAGCGAGGACCAGAAGTGGGGAAAGGCAGAGGAGGGGAAGACTAGGAAGACAGTGAGTTTGGGAGAGTTTGGAGTCCAGGTAGAGGAGGGGGCTAAAAGTGAAAGCTGAGAACATGGGCTAGATAGGACAGGCGGTCGAGAGTTTGTGGCGAGCAGACCAGTGTGAGGGGTTGTGTGACTCTGTGCACTATGCTCCCTTCCCAGTCTGGCTCCTTGTGCCTCATGTGGTCAGGCTGTGGAATTCTTCATTGGGCCAGTGTGGGGCAGAAAGTGAGAATGCTCTGGGAAGCTACAATAGAGAAAAAGAGTCACCTTTAATCCCATCAAGAGATGAGCACCTTTTCATTTCTTGATAGTTATCCTTCCAGGCACTTACTTGTTTTTCTATTTTTTAATTTAAAAAATTTAATTGAAGTGTAATCAGTTTACAATGTTGTGTCAATTTCTGGTGTACAGCACAATGCTTCAGTCATACAGGAACATACATATATATTCGTTTGCATATTCTTTTTCACCAGTCATTTATTTTTTTCTCTCTCTCTCCCTCTCTGCACCCACATAGACACAGGGTCTCTCTGTTTTACATATATGCAAGTTTATGTATGTAAGCTTTTTCTGCTTTTAGCTTTTTAAAGAGGATTAACAATATATGGTCAGCTTCTTGCTGCTTGTTGACCAGGTAGGTGCTCCTTAACTATTTGGTTTAAGTTGTAAGTTGAGATCATGGAAGGCAAATAGGAAGAGTGTGGGAA